GGCAGCACTGTATTTGAATGTGAGCAGACCGTGCGCAACTTGTCGTATCATGGAAACACGCGAAAGTGTGCAGTATTGTGCTCCAAGTCCAAAATATCACGTTTTTGAGCCACGTATTGGGCTGCACGGCGGCAGGACTTTTGCCAGCACCCTCGTGACGTTGCAGATATGTGGCTTGATTATTGTAGTTGACGTTGATTTAGTGACTTTGGCAAGTTTCAGTCGTGTCAATAAGTCAGGTAGGATTCAGTACTAGGCAGTAGCGGAACATGAGTGCTAGTCTTTGCCGGTTTCTGAGGGTATCCTGGATTTGTGTGCAGCACTGTGGAAATGGCTTGCTGTGGACGTCCCAGCACTGGATATTGTATCAAAGGTACGACCTCGTAGCACGTGCTAAACCTAAAAAAATTCAAAAATTGACTTGGGTCTGTGGGAGTCTGTGAGAGAACGCCCACTCGTTCCGTTGTGACAGATTGCAGGGCCACGTTGAGGGGCCCTACCCCACCACCCATGGCTGCTTCTGGACTTGTTTTAGGTTTGGGTCCCGCGCACGGACAGAATGGGCACGAAAATGTGAAAAAAATTGTAAATGCATTTGTTTGGCTCCTGGGTGGCTCGCACACCGCGGCACTATGCCGGAAATTTGAGTTTTTCCGGCCCGGAAAGCCTGTCAGTGATGCGCAAGAACTTGTAAATCATGTCCTGAGGGCTAGCATAGTGGCAGGAGTGTGTGGTCAAAATTTCACTCAAATCCATTGAGAAACACCAAAGTTACGGTCAATTGAATGCCATATGAAATTTATGGGTAGGCCGCCCCCTTATTAAAGAATACAAAAAAGAATACAGTCATAAAGAATACATAACACAAGAGAGAGAGATTGGAAGCATTGTTACAACTCTGAGTTGTAACAAAGCTTCCAATCTCTCTCTTGTGTACAATGCTCCGCCCTAAATGATTATTTTATTTATTTTATTACGGAGCATGAGCAAATCGAATTTTCGATTTGATTATTCGAATGGCAAAAAGAAAATCAGAGAGAAAATTCGAATGAAAAAGAGGTTCAGCATGTAGCGCAGTCCAGTATTTTCGAATCGAGTTTTTTTAGCTTGAGCAGTTGAGGACTGGCGTTTGAGATGTGCAATGAACGGAGTTGCTGTTGTTTCTCATTGCCTTTGGGGATGACGCGAAGCGGCGGATGCTTCATCCGATTCAGGCTATTGGCGATAGGATCTCTCTTGGAGACCCCTTGAAAAGGCGGATCTCGGCCGAGCTCCTCCGCTATCCCTTGCATATCAGGAGACCCGCGGACGAATAGCTGAGGGTGGGCCCTACACTGCCTCAGCAGAATGAGATCCATGGTAAGGTCGACCCTCGAATATTTGGCACACTTTGAGTTGCCCTCTCCCTGGGGGGAACTCACCATAGGCATAGACGCAGATGCCGAGACAACGCCAGCAGGGCTACTGCAGTACTGGGAGCAGGAGGCATACCGGAGCTGGTAGTTGGTGACAAAGCCATGATTCCAGGATACTTGAAATGAAACAAAATGCACACTTGATAAAACTTTTCACAGTTCGAGAGAGAGGAAAGCGTCAAGATTGACAAGAAGTCCGGTTCGACTGTGCCTTGTGCACTGACATGTGCAACTACGAGTAGTACTCCCGGGTAAGAACTAGTAGCTACATGCGCAACTAGAATGAGTACTCGTAGTCGTAGTGCGCCGTGTACTAGAGCACGCGCGGAGCATTCGAAAAGTATTCGAAAAGTATTTTCTGTTTGCGGGCATTTTTCAGTCGAACAAAGCCCTAGTTTCGACTGATTGAGTGCTTTTCGTGACGATTCTCGAATTTCACTCGAATATTCGATTTGCTGATGCTCCGTATTATTTTTTTATTACAACATCTCAAGACTCGGTGGAAACACCGGCCAATGTTAAGAGAGTGGGTGATTGCCAACCACGGCGATAAATAAAAATAAGGGGAGGGAAAAAGAAAGAGTAGCAAAATGAACAGCAACAACAACTCCGTAAAGAAAGATAATGTCAAATAAAAACAGTGAAAAACACAGAGACGCAAAGGACATGTGGATAATACACAGAGACGCAAAGAACATGTGGATAATACACAGAGACGCAAAGGACATGTGGATAATACACAGAGACGCAAAGGACATGTGGATAATACACAGAGACGCAAAGGACATGTGATTATAATTGAGCACTCTTCGGACAGTGAAGCAAACCACATGACTACGTAAAGAATTCATTACTAAAACAATACATAAAGAACTTAGAAGTTGCGACTTCGGCGGTAATAGTCATAAAGTTGATTGTTCCAACTAGGAACACACGCTTCTTGCCGAACTTGACACTTGACTGACTCACCACTGCCATCCAGAGCACACGAGGAGCACGTCGCACCTTCCACTTGGCAAACTAATTACTTGCAAGAAAGCACCACTCCCTGCTCAATACACAGTGTTTCGGGGAATTCACCCCTCATCAGTTGAGCTTGAGTAGGCTGAGGAAGATTGTGCCTGAAAAGCACCACTCTGAAAAAGTAAAAAATTACATTGACATGTACATTGGTGTGCCGAGTAGTATCA